CCACTTCTGTGTTCATACAACAATATACAGTGATGGATTGGCCCTCTTCTGTGTTCATACAACAATATACAGTGATGGATTGGCCCTCTTCTGTGTTCATACAACAATATACAGTGATGGATTGGCCCACTTCTGTGTTCATACAATAATATACAGTGATGGATTGGCCCACTTCTGTGTTCATACAAAATATACAGTGATGGATTGGCCCACTTCTGTGTTCATACAATAATATACAGTGATGGATTGGCCCACTTCTGTGTTCATACAATAAGTCTCTACTTCTCGTGAACCACTGTTTTTAAGTTCAGTATAAGTTCAATAAGTCATTTTGGAATTTTTTTGTGATATTTATGTGCACAATTTTACTGTGCTTATACAGAGCACTTTTAATAAAACCAATTAATCAAACTTACACGACCTATTAACATCATCTATGCAGAATCAACTAGAAGGCGATGAACTGAGAATAACGTCCAAGATAATTTAATGTCCGTCTTTATAAGTTTTTCTTTGTTATTAGTCACGAAGCCACACCGTGAGCTATTTGTGCTGTGCCCACCGCGGGTATTGAAAGTCGATTTTTAACGTTATAAGCAAAAACTTCTGTAAAATTTGTAAATTTATTGTATTTTCGTATTTTATTTAAAAAGCTATTTTTAAAATCTTCTATAAACGAAGATTATGATGACCAAATACTTGAAGGACATCAAACGTGGGAATTATATAACCTTCTGTATGAGCAACTAATGTTAAGAGTATATAAATAGGAGTGGTACAGATTTCACATGATTGTTAACAGGATTTTATTAGTTTATTGTGTCGCGTTTGGTTCTATTTTTAAAAAAGTTAACTTTTGTTTCGATTGAGAAAATATTGCAAAATATATCTTAACAATCTTTTATCACTCATGAACGAAGTAATGTCGTGGACGGTTTTATTCACTGATAATAAATGTTTGTATCTAGTGAGCCTCTTTGGACAGTAAATGTTTTAATAGTCGACACTATCATTGATCCCAACTTGTTTATTTTGTATTCACAGAAAGGTTACTACCGCAGTTTGTCACCGTACTTAATTTAGTTGAAAAAAATGTATTTTGTGGAATGTAACACAAGTGAAACAAAATATTTCTTTTGTGGAACCTACAACAATACAGTTGGAAAGTCAGTATTTTGTGGAACTTACAACAATACAGTTGAGGAAAGTCAGTATTTTGTGGAACCTACAACAACCCAGTTGAGGAAAGTCTGTATTTTGTGGAACCTACAACAATACAGTTGAGGAAAGTCTGTATTTTGTGGAACCTACAACAATACAGTTGGAAAGTCTGTATTTTGTGGAATGTAACACAAGTGAAACAAAATATTTCTTTTGTGGAACCTACAACAATACAGTTGAGGAAAGTCTGTATTTTGTGGAACCTACAACAATACAGTTGAGGAAAGTCTGTATTTTGTGGAACCTACAACAATACAGTTGAGGAAAGTCTGTATTTTGTGGAACCTCCAACAATACAGTTGAGGAAAGTCTGTATTTTGTGGAACCTCCAACAATACAGTTGAGGAAAGTCTGTATTTTGTGGAACCTACAACAATACAGTTGAGGAAAGTCTGTATTTTATGGAACCTACAACAATACAGTTGAGGAAAGTCTGTATTTTGTGGAACCTACAACAATACAGTTGAGGAAAGTCTGTATTTTATGGAACCTTCAACAATACAGTTGAGGAAAGTCTGTATTTTGTGGAACCTACAACAATACAGTTGGAAAGTCTGTATTTTGTGGAACCTACAACAATACAGTTGAGGAAAGTCTGTATTTTGTGGAACCTCCAACAACATAGTTGAGGAAAGTCTGTATTTTGTGGAACCTACAACAATACAGTTGAGGAAAGTCTGTATTTTATGGAACCTTCAACAATACAGTTGAGGAAAGTCTGTATTTTGTGGAACCTCCAACAATACAGTTGAGGAAAGTCTGTATTTTGTGGAACCTACAACAATGCAGTTGAGGAAAGTATGTATTTTATGGAACCTACAACAATACAGTTGAGGAAAGTCTGTATTTTATGGAACTTTTAACAATACAGTTGAGGAAAGTCTGTATTTATAGAAAATACAGAAATATCATAAAAAGTTTGCCTTTTATGGAATGTAAAGTCAAACCGTAAGATCAAAAACACTTAACAATCTCGTTGTTTAAAAAAAAAATGGAACCTGTAGCATTATTCAGGAAAATGGAGGAAATGTGCCGTGAAGTTAGGTGTAAGGAACATCGGTTGGAAGTGAGGGAGGTGAAAAAGTGGCGGGCTTTCGGTTAGTCTATAAGGGATTGTGGAGTTACCGTACTCAAGTCATGTATTGTATTAAATCTAAAACAATAATGTACGGAAAAAAATTATGTACATTGTGAAACGTACAGTTTTTACAACCAGAGAGAAAAAATATGTATTTTGTGAAACTTATAGTTAGTTTCATAAAGAAAACTTTTTGGGGGAATTTACAATAATATCGTTCCAAATGTATTTATTTTGTGGAACCTAGATTATTACTAAAAGGTAAAAAAAAAAAAATCTGTATTCTATGGAACTTACAGCGAGGTTCTAATAGATAACTAAAGGTGTTGAATTTATGTTATTCTATTATTTCAGAATACTTTTACAAAACCTGGAGAAATTATTAATATTATGAGTTCTATTTCAGGCCTAATTGTAATCATCATTCTATTAATTAGTTATTGACATGTATGATTAATAATTTATTTTGGTTTATATAACTAAATAGTCTGAGTTTTAGTACATTGTGGTTATTTTGGTGTTGTTGTTTTTTTTAAATTGTAATTTGTCAATGTGTCTTATAAGTCGACGAAGCTTTACTTGTACAGATTATTGTATTTATTGTGCCTGATCTTCCACCCCCACCCACCCCTTACTTACAATTAATTATTAGGAAACTCTACAAACACTCTTGTTTTTCTTGTACTTAAAATAAAATAACAGGTTTGAAGAATTTATATTCGATCATTTCAAATACATAAGTTTGTGTGGGCACGGGAACCTTACTGACCATTTGGGCTATTTTAAATTATTTGTTGACACAAGTGGCTGAGTGGTAAGGGTCCGTGTTTATACCGCTGAAACTTGGAATATGATCCCGGTGGACACAACACAGATAGTCCATTGTGTAGCTTTGGGTTAAAACAAATAAACGTTATTTCTTTACACAAGTACAGTAACTGAACATTTTAGTTACGTGAGTTTACTTTTGACACAAGTACAGTAACTGAACATTTTAGTTACGTGAGTTTACTTTTGACCCAAGTACAGTAAATGAACATTTTAGTTACGTGAGTTTATTTTTTGACCCAAGTACAGTAAATGAACATTTTAGTTACGTGAGTTTATTTTTTGACCTAAGTACAGTAACTGAACATTTTAGTTACGTGAGTTTATTTTTGACACAAGTACAGTAACTGAACATTTTAGTTACGTGAGTTTACTTTTGACCCAAGTACGGTAACTGAACATTTTAGTTACGTGAGTTTTCTTTTGACCCAAGTACAGTAACTGAACATTTTAGCTACGTGAGTTTATTTTTTGACCCAAGTACAGTAACTGAACATTTTAGTTACGTGAGTTTATTTTTTGACCCAAGTACAGTAACTGAACATTTTAGTTACGTGAGTTTATTTTTTATCACAGATACATAAACTATTTTGAGCAATATCAAGAGTACGATCCCTTCCTGAGGACACCAGAACCTTCTAACCCCTGGATATCCGATAGCCAAGACCTGTGGGAACTGGAAAAACAAACGTACGTATTTTTTCTGGTTTTGGTAAAATAAGTGTATCACTATTATCAGGTAAGTTTAGATAAAAATCAAGTAATATTAACAAAATCTCAGGTGAAATTTGTGATTCGCGAAATTTTATTTCGTGTGAAACTTTCATTATCATTTGTTAGTTTTCCAGTTTTAACTGACTTCGAGTTTACTTTGCTACATGAGGGAACGTTTTGTTCTAATTATCTTCTTCGTCGTTAAGATGACATAAATTGGACGTCACGTGACGATCAATAATAGAATGAATGTTGACTTCTTGCAAGGAGACTAATACATCTTTTCTTTGCGAATAAAGACTTAAGACATTTCGAGTTTTTAGAGACGTTACTTATCCCAACGTTTCGTTTTGTCGTCCTTCCACATATCTATCTATCTTTCTAATTATCTACCTATTTATCTTTGCATTTCTGCCCTCTGGTGGCGCAGTAGTAAGTCTGCGGGCTTATAGCGCTAAAGATCGAGTTTCGATACTCGCGTTGGGCACAGATAGCCCAGTGTGTAGCTTTGTGCTTAATAACAAACAAACAGTGTATATTTATATTTATCTGTTTTTCTATCTATCTTTTTTGTCAGTCTATTCATATCTATAGCTGACTAGCTGTCTCTGTCTGTCTATCTATACAGCCTAGAAATGTCTCGAAATCGCACAGTAACAGAAATATAAAACCTCTTGTTTAGCCAAAGTTTTCTTCAAGTTTTCACTAATTCATTTAGCATATTTTTTTCTTTTCGCCGAAATGTAATTGATTGGAAGTTCATTGTTTGAAACTTCTTCTAAAACATAAGTATTGACAAAATGCAAATATTTCTTTTTTTTATATAAAACAAACAGCTTAGTCTTACAAAGGTGACGAAGTTTTCAGTTTAAGGTTATCAATTTACTAATGTAACAATAAGTTTTAATTTACGTACTCCAATCGGTTAAGACAGTCATCAGCTCAGAGGTTATATTTAATGTCAAAAACGACTCGCTCGTTCTTAAGTAACTAACACCATTGTCTATTTACATAAACATAGTAGAGAGAGTAAAAAAATCAAACGTTGGTAGATGCCCCCAGTGACTTAAGTCCGGGGGCTTAAAGCGTTAAACTTGAGTTTCAATACCCCCGATGGGCAAAATACATATGGGCCAACAAGTAGATTTACACTTAACAACAAAGTAAATAATAACAGCAACTGCACTTACCCTAAAGATACCCTAAGGTGTAAGCCGGAAAATTTTGTTCTGGTAATATACTTACCCTAAAGTGCGAGCCGGAAACATTTGTTCTAGTAATATACTTACCCTAAAGATACCCTAAAGTGCGAGCCGGAAAATTTTGTTTTAGTAAAATATCTAGTCCAAAGGGAAATATATCAACAACATATTTAGTATTCATGTTGCACAATGGAGAAGATAAAAACTAACAACTCGGTATTCGTATCGCTTACATTCGTAGAGATGTTTCTGAATGTTGATCATGTCAGAAAAACGTTTTCTGACAGATTGAAAATTATATTACTTATACACGGTATTGCATAATCCATACCGGAAGTGACGTAAATTTTTTGTTTGTTTTGATATTAAACACAAAGCTACACAATGGGCTATTTGTGTTCTGACCACCACGGGTATCGAAACCCGGTTTCTAGCGTTGCAAGTCCGCAGACGTACGGTAAAACAGAATTACTGGTTTTCAAACTACACAAATGATAGAAGCTGGACGTTTCTTGTTGTGTAATTACTAGGCCGAAATCCGTGTAACAATGATACTGTTTTCAACCTGGATGTTACTATAGCAGCTACAGAAATGTAACATAAAACCACGTGGGAACACTAATCGTAATTTATTGTGTACAACACGCAATGTTTGAGAGATTTGATTCGCTGTCTTCGGGTACTGTTTCAACCCATTTTTAGATGAGTAACACTAGACGTATTTTTGTTAAATCACGTTCATATAAATTAGATAAAGCCCAAGCTTATTTGAGGGTTATATAACCCATCTTCAACAGGGGTAAGGACAGAAAGTACTAGAATTTAACTGGTTTTTTTACGTGTTTTAGCTATTCAGAATTGATACTTGTTAAGTTAGAAACGTACGTTAAGGATTATCCAGATTGTACGTTAAAGTAGTTTACGTATTATCATATATATATATATAAAGGATAAATAAGTAGAAATTGAATTTTGTATGCATAAATTCGTATAGAAATATAATTATTATATAACGTATTATAATATGTATATTATAAATTAAATTAACATATACGTAATAATATCAATAAATGATGAAGTGCGTTATAATCAAACTGTCATGGGTGAAACATAAAGTAATAATTTTACTTAAACGATTTGTTTATTATTGAATAAATGGATATTGAAGTGAAATTATAAAGACGGAAGTTTATCGTAACGATAATACAGAACTATATCCGTCATAACAATAATACAGAACTATATTCGTCATAACTATAATACAGAACTATATTCGTTATAACTATAATACAGAACTATATCCGTCATAACGATAATACAGAACTATATCCGTCATAACTATAATACAGAACTATACCCGTCATAACGATAATACAGAACTATATTCGTCATAACTATAACACAGAACTATATCCGTCATAACTATAAAACAGAACTATATCCGTCATAACTATAATACAGAACTATATCCGTCATAACGATAATACAGAACTATATTCGTCATAACTATAACACAGAACTATATCCGTCATAACTATAAAACAGAACTATATCCGTCATAACGATAATACAGAACTATATTCGTCATAACGATAATACAGAACTATATCCGTCATAACGATAATACAGAACTATATCCGTCATAACGATAATACAGAACTATACCCGTCATAACAATAATACAGAACTATATTCGTCATAACTATAAAACAGAACTATATCCGTCATAACTATAACACAGAACTATATTCGTCATAACGATAATACAGAACTATATTCGTCATAACTATAATACAGAACTATATCCGTCATAACTATAATACAGAACTATATTCGTCATAACTATAATACAGAACTATATTCGTCATAACGATAATACAGAACTATATTCTATCCTTCTGCTTTATGGAACTATGACATCTCACGTGACCCACACCAGCTAATCAGCACGAGGTGGCGTCCTTAGGTTATAGATGAACCTAACCATTTAAGGATATAAACCAAATATTGACTGGTAAATGACTTTACATACATTTAATATAAATTACGCTTCACCAGCTTAACCTAGATCACGTCATAACGATTATTGTTTAAAATATTTAGCGTCTCAACCACTACTATGTCCGTCATACCCCAATTGACCAGATGAACCCTGGTGTTGTAGGAAAGGCCTCATCGGCACTAGATTTAGTGTGATCGACATATTGCTATACATTCTTATTTACTTTGAATCATAATTTAAGGAATATAATTCATTCATTATAATAGTTTACTTACAAATGTCCGTGTACAGCAAGAGAAAACTGACACGGTTCGAACTATTGCTTATCGTAGGCCCCCACTATTAAACACAGAATGACGTCAGAGGATACCAATAAAATATATCTTAACATGTGTTTTGTTCAGGAAAGAGGTGCACCCCAGGAGAGTTCGGAGGTGGGCTTTCTCTCTCCAGGAGTTGCTGAGAGACACGGCTGGAAGAGAACAGTTTGTCCGTTTTCTGGAAAAAGAATTTAGCGCTGAAAACCTCAAGTAAGTTGATCTTTCCTCATCACCGATTCTAACGAGAACATTTAAAAGTGTAAACCTTTATATGGGGCGTGTATTTAGTTCCAATATCATCCAACGTCCAATCATATATCATTCAATGACGGGTGTATACTAACTGCTGCTTTAGTAGGACCACCACTTTATATCAGCTTCTCACCATTAATTATATCCTATACTAGGCTTGGACGAGATGCTGGAGATGTCTTTTTTTTTCAGTTGTTGTCTTTTTGCTGACGAGTTTGGGCTGCATATGGCCTACAGGGTGCTCGAAGGATTATAGTGTTGAATGTGATGTTCAAACTAATCCGGGAGACGATCAGTCAGATTCAGATTGGTGAGGTGCTGGCCAAGGAAGATTAAGCACTTGTTCTGATGCTATTTAAACCAACTTCAGACAATTCAAGAGCGATAAGTTGTTCCAATATCGTCTTGAAGGAGCTATTGTCCGATGGGGTGGAAATGCCCGATAGTGAAGTGACTCTGAATGTTTTCCGTTCTTCTAAAAGCATCAAGAACCGAACTAACACTTGCGTTGAAAACGTTTTCCACACCATTATACCACCTCCAGCAGTTTGCACTGTAAGAGCAGGAACAGATACCTTATGTGTGTTTTTTTCTATATGTTCGTTCTACCTTCAGTAGAGACGAAGGTCAAACATGTCTACTCAAGTCATATCTTCCTGCATGAACCTGGTTTCCAACTCTGCCACGTGATATTACTGTTGAGGGAATCGGCCAATTGGAACATTCTGATATTGAACTCTACCGGCTTATCCAACTGTTTGTTCCTCGGGTCACTCACGAGTAAATGATTGACACGAATTTATTTTATTGAGAGACTGATACCTTTGACAGCCAATTGAAGGAAAGGTTATCGATACCGACATTCCTACTAATTGGAAGTCAGAAAGATATTTTTTCTTACCCATTATCTTGCAAAATAATCATTATATAACTATAAGTCTGAATTTATAAAATTTGAGACGTCAAACGATCAGTCTTTTTTGCATATGTGATTCAGTGTAGCGTTCTGCAAATATGCGACGTGGGGGTTAGCAAAGTAGCCAATCAGTGTATTAGCACTATTACGTAATCTAGATTGTATTTGGAATGCGACTAAGCCTTTAGTAGCAACATTTTAAAAACATTATATATATGTGTGTGTGTGTATGTAAAGGATGTAAGTTAGGTTATTGATTATTCAATAAAACAAATAATATTATACTTTTATCAATTCTTTATTACTAACTTATTTTTCAGATATTTTGTATTCTGTGAATAATTTAAATTATCCAAATATTACTATCTTTACACTAAATAACAGAATCAAAGTCTCAAGAAAACGAGAAATGTAAAAGCATTGTTTCACTATTTTTATGTCTTAAAAGGACAATTTATATACAAAATATATAAGTCTAACCCACCCCCCCCACCCCCACACACACACACATATATATATACAAAAAATAACTGGAGAAAAAACACTGGTGTTATTTTTTATTTTTCGTTCATGTGTTTTGTCTATTAGAAAAGTGGAGATTTTTTTTTTGTAGTCATCTCAAGGCTTGAAAAATTTTTGGTGATCTTGTTCTAAACTTCATCTAAATTGGTGTTAATCCTGTTCTAAACTTCATCTGAATTGGTGTTAATCCTGTTCTAAACTTCATCTGAATTGGTGCTAATCCTGTTCTAAACTTCATCTGAATTGGTGTTAATCCTGTTCTAAATTTCATCTGAATTGGTGTTAATCCTGTTCTAAATTTCATCTGAATTGTTGGTGATCCTGTTCTAAACTTCATCTGAATTGGTGTTAATCCTGTTCTAAATTTCATCTGAATTGTTGGTGATCCTGTTCTAAACTTCATCTGAATTGGTGGTGATCCTGTTCTAAACTTCATCTGAATTGGTGGTGATCCTGTTCTAAACTTCATCTGAATTGGTGGTGATGCTATTCTAAATTTAACCTGAGTTGGAGGTTGTCCTATTTTAAATCTAGCCTCATGTTTTTTGTTGTTATTTTTGTACTACGTACTACAAATTGGTTTGTGATTCACTGCCAATGTTGTTCATATTCAACAGTATATTAAACAGTATACTGTATATTACAGTACATTAAAAACGTTTACCATTAGGTAACTCTGGCAACATAAACCTAAACCTTTTACCCTTTAGGTAACCCTGGCAGCATAAAATTAAACCATTTACCCATTAAAAAACCCTGGCAGTATAAAACTAAACATTTTACCCATTAATTAACTCTGGCAGCATAAAACTAAACCATTTACCCATTAGGTAACCCTGGCAGCATAAAACTAAACCATTTACCCGTTAAGTAACCCTGGCAGCATAAAACTAAACCATTCACCCACTAAGTAACCCTGGCAGCATAAAACTAAACCATTTACCCATTAAGTAACCCTGGCAGCATAAAACTAAACCATTTACCCATTAGGTAACCCTGGCAGCATAAAACTAAACCATTTACCCATTAGGTAACCCTGGCAGCATAAAACTAAACCATTTACCCATTAGGTAACCCTGGCAGCATAAAACTAAACCATTTACCTATTAGGTAACCCTAGCAGCATAAAACTAAACCATTTACTCATTATGTAACCCTGGCAGCATAAAACTAAACCATTTACCTATTAGGTAACCTTGGCAACATAAAACTAAACCATTTACCCATTAAATATCCCTGGCAGTACAAAACTAAAACACTCGTCAGTTAGATAACCCTGACAGCACACGTTGTCCTGTTAGGTAGTCCTAAAAGCACACAACTAAAAACGGTGTCCTATTAGGTAGTCCTGACAGCACACAACTAAAAATGGTGTCCTATTAGGTAGTCCTGACGGAACACAACTAAAATCGTTGTCCTATTAGATAGTTCTGACAGCACACAACTAAAATCTTTGTCCTATTAGGTAATCCTGACAGCACACAACTAAAATCATTCCCCCGTTATATAACCCTGACTTGAGTTTAGTGTCAAACCTCATTGTTTCCAAACCGTGTGTCGTGGCAGGGTGCTAGGGTGTCACGAGTGTTTCACGAAACAAATAATAATTAAGAACATTAAAAAAAAAGCCGTACAGAAAAATATCCCATGTAACAGCAAGGGTGTCGTGCAAATCAAGTTAAGAGGATTAGGATGTCGTTAGTGGAAAAAAGTTTAGAAATCTCCACTTTTCCAGGAAGTTTGCTTTACCACTTAGCTTTAACTAATTCATCTTTTCTACAGATTCTGGGATGCTGTACAGGAACTAAAACAAGTGCATTCAAAGGACGTACCTCTTAAAGTGGAAGAAACGTGGAAGTAAGTGTATCACAA